TTGTCAACATTTCGAATGGCATAACCCATCATCTGCAACAGTAGGTAAATACAGCACACTTGAACCTTGCGTTTATTCCAGTCAGTGAGAAAAGCCACGTTTCTGGGGCAGGAGAGGTGAAGGATATCGTTGCGTTGCTTTTCCAGCCTGGGAAAATAAAATCAAATATCCTGGTGTTTCAAGAAGCCCTGTGTTCTGAACACCAGAACATTTTCAGGGTGGATAAATCAGCCATGTGATAAGAGTTGCAGAAGGCCCAACTTGTCTTATTGAAGATGCCTCTCTTGGTTCAAAGTCACTAGAATTTCCACCCTTCATGCTTAACAGCATTTCTTCTTGTAGCAGCTTTGTTTTGGGCATTTTTGAACTCAGCTGGTAGCAGATTTAAGAATTTGAAGATGTATTAATTTAGGAAGAGGAGCTGGAAGGCAGTGAGGGAGGTTGCATCTTCTTTTCTTGCCCTATCTCCAGCGGCTCCCGTGGTGTTCGGGGTCAGAGGATGTGTTTTCCCATCTCCTGAAGGAGCATGTCCAGTCACTAATGAGACAAAAGCTGATTTCCAAGAACTTATGGAAAGCTGTTCCTGGAGCAGTCATGGCTGTGGGATATCCCTGAAAAGTGGCAGAGAGAGGCAATCCCTTCCAGTATTTAGGCAGAAGCAACAAACCTGCAAGCAAATGAGAGTTTTCATGGTCCCAATTGACCCAGTTGAATAATGGTGAATGAACTTTTGTGCCCCACTGTGGCCTGAAAATGAGCCCAATTAGCTGACACAAAGCGTTAATAGGTCTTTAACTGCTCAGAGACAGAGACGTGGAGTATACGGTCAGGCAGGAACGCACCCACTCCTGGTTCACAGCGAGAGGAGCAGGGCAGAGCTGTTTGCTCTGGTGCCTGCAAGGTTTAGAGAGGAAACTGCTTCCCTTATTAGCGTTATATTTTTAGTGCATTTATTCCTTAACGGTTTTTTCCTTCCCTGACATCCAAGAAAGGGCTGGGTCCCCTCTCCCTTCCCATATCCAGCCTCGTTACTCTAGCAAAGGCACTTCTTGAGCCGTTTCCTCATTTTTTAGCACTGAGGAGGTGACGTTGCTGATTCCCAAACCCACTGAGGACACCGGTGGCTCTAACCCGCTGCCTTGGTTGTTTTCTCCTCCCCAGGGTGGAATGAGCTCCTAATCGCCTCCTTCTCCCACCGCTCCATAGCCGTGAAAGACGGGATCCTCTTAGCCACCGGGCTCCACGTGCACCGGAACAGCGCGCACAGTGCCGGCGTCGGGGCCATCTTCGACAGGTGGGCAGCAGGAGGGATGGACGGTGGGGACCGCATCTCAGCCACCTTGCCTAGACACCCCATCTCTGTCTTCACACCGGGTTGTCTCCATTCCCTGCATTGCAGCCTGCTCGAGGAGTCGAATGGAGATGTGTTGGCACCTGGGCTTGTGGTCGGAGGAGCCCAGGCTGAGGCGTGTCCATCCCATGGCGTGCTTGGAAATGTCCTGGTCCTTGCTGCAGACAATGGCATTAAATCTCCCCTCTTAAACCTGCAGAAGCAGACGGCCTGAAACAGTCAGGGAGAGAGCTGCCCAGTGCAAATCAAAGCCTCTTTCATGGGGTCCAGATGCCTTCTAATGTTACGAGGAGGCTGCTCCTTTATTTCCTTTCATCTTTAATTGGACCAAGACGCGATTTTATTTTCACAATGAAAAAGCACCAGAAATACCCAGCAGGTTCCACATGCGTATCCTGAGGGCTCTTTAATCTCATGCTTTGGGAAAGTGTTTTAAAGCCAGACTTCCAGGGTGTTTGACCCATGGTGCGGCTTAAATGGTGGCTGATTTCTCTGCCCAAGACTCATCTTGAGATGGTTTAGTTGAAACCAAATCACCTTTGCTGCTTTGCTTTGCAAGGAAATTGTTCTTCAGGCCCGTGTGACATCATTTGTTCCTTGTGAGGTCATAAGTGCAAGATCATGACTTCACTGCAGGATCTAACAGGAAGAACTGGGCAATCAGTGAAAAGTATTTCAAGACCGGCACCTGCAGTAAGAGCAAAGGGAGTAATAAAAATTACCGGCAGAGGAAATTGCTTTTAGATACCTGTTGGGGTTTTTTTTTATATTATTATTTTTTATTTTTAGGCAGCGTTCTCAGGTGCCAAAGCCTCTCGGTGAATGTATGAAGCCAGTTTTTACAGTCCCTGTTGTGTCTCACAGGAACTATTGATGTTCCTAATGAGCTATTTTTGATACAGGAGGAAAATGAGGACATATCCTCAGCTGGTACAAGCGAGCACTATCCCACGACTTCATTAACCGCAGGATCTCACTCTGGGTCTGACACCTGGGTGGGTTTTTTTTTCCATTTCTTTTTAATGCTGATGCCTGTGATTTCTGTGTCCTTTGCAGAGTACTGACAGAACTCGTGTCAAAAATGCGAGACATGCAGATGGACAAGACAGAGCTAGGCTGCCTGCGAGCCATTGTCCTCTTCAACCCTGGTACATGCTGTTACCTTCTCTTCTGTCCTCTCTTGGTTGATGCTCTGTCCTTTTGGCTCCTTTTCTTACTTATTGCAAATCATCGAAGGCACCCAGCTCCCCAGGACAGGGCAAGAAGGAAGAGGGGCAAGAATGAAAGTCAAATTGGGTGCTGCACATGCATCTGCCACCTTCCAAGCATGTCCTTTGCAGGTCAGGGATGGTGTTGCTCTCCAGAGCCCCCTCTCCAAGGGGAGTTTTCTCCTTTACAGAGGGCAGTGTGGTTTCATGGTCCAGGATTTTCTCAGTACAGAGCCCAGCCTTGGCTGTGATCATCCGAGGAGATGGCAAATGGTACTTTTGAAGCTGACTCCTGCTCATGGGCTGAGTTCTCTGCTGAGCTTGAGGGGCTTTGTCTTGATCAACGTTGCACAGTCTTCCTATTTTCAGTTTTATAGCGACTCTGTAAAACGAAAGTTTTGGTGCTTGAGGGAGGTGTCCCTGAATAGGAGCAAAAAATAATCTAAATACCCTTACAAAGAAAGTACGGATTAGAGCAAACTTAGAGCACGAACTTTGTTGTCCTGTGTTTCCCAATCTCAGCATCCAAGGGCTTTTATTAAGTGCATTTTTGGAAAAGCCCTCTGCAGACCTGGAGTGGCTGAAAGGCATGAAATGTGCTCATAAAATACACAATAACTTTATTTTTTTGTCTGCAGCTTGCTTAGCTTTACAGACTCCAGAAGGCTGCTGGCTTTCCCCCGTTGGCCCCAGCTGCCCAAGGGAAGAAGGTTCATTGCTGGGCTCTGTTTCCAGCATTTCTCAGAGCAAAGCCCTGCTGCAGCAGGAGACAGACGGGACCAGTCTGTAGATGCCTATATAGCTCTTTTGGGTTGAGTCCCTGTATTTTAGAGCAGGTCAGTCCAGAGTAATAGCAGACAGCAGCGGAGAACAGACCTCCACATCTGTGGCCACCCCTTCCCCTCCCTGCCCTTGCAGGAGCGTGATTTGTACCCAAATGGTCCTTTCCCACCAAACCGTTTCAGCAGGGTTTATTGCTGTTTCTTGGGTTTGTTTTTCTGCTTGACTTATTTTTTTCTCCACCCACCCCCGCCCCCCCCCTTGTAATCACCAGTAATTTATTGTCTGTAATTTGGGATTAGCCGTATATGGTAAAAGAAGGGGAATCTGGAGAGGATCCCGTGGCGCATGTGCTCAGGGATATCGATTGCTTGACTGTCCCTTTCACCCTACTAAAAACAGATCCTCGCTGTGCCACGGGGGACCTGCCAGTGCGGGGGATTTTTGTTTAGCCCTTCTTTAGTGCTTTGTTCTGGGGGGAGATAGCCCAAAGCTCGGGTCTTGAGGGAGTCTTAAAGCCTTTAAATGAGGGTCTGTGACCATTGGAATGACCCGAAATGGTTGGGGTTGGGGTATGAGCGGGGGTAAAACAGATCTGTAGTCGCAAGGCAAACCTTTCAGGGCTGGGATGCTCCCCAGGAGGTGTTAGGGAGTGCCCCAAATACCTGGGGTTCAGACCTCACAGTGGGTCCCCTGATCTGGTGGTGCTGGGAGGGATGGAGAAGGCTGTGGGGGAGCACAGGGGGTGCCTGGAAAGCCTGGAGGTTTTGGGCTGATGGTCTTTTTGTTGCCTTTCAGACTCAAAAGGTCTCTCCAACCCGGCTGAAGTGGAGGCGTTACGGGAGAAGGTGTACGCGTCGCTAGAGGCGTACTGCAAACACAAATACCCCGACCAGCCTGGGAGGTGAGCCCTGTCCTCCTGCAGCCTCGCACCCCTGCAAAACCCCCTACAATGGGTGCTGCAGCCCAGGGTGGGGTCTGAGTGCCTTTTTTGGGGTCGCTGCACCTGCATGCTGGGTCCTTTCCCTTGAGCAAGGTCTTTATTCTCATGCTGGTAAATGTGGCACAGCCAGGACAAGGTCGGGCAGTAACAGCACTGCCGGGACCTGAGGAGCCCCGGCTCCTGCGGCCGCAGCAGTGGGATGAGCAGATGGGGGAAGGGGTATCATTTCCCTTTTGGCAACCACGGAGAGCAAACCACAGCAAAAATAAGACGCACACGGAGTTAATTTTCGGGGGCAGATGAGCATCATTGCTGGGAAGTGAAAGCCTCAATTGATGCTCTTTTCTCCCCTCTCCACCTCCTCCAATCCAGCTGGGAATGGGAGGGGTAATTAGGAATGCTTTCCTGGACCGCTCCGGAGCTGAGTGGGCGCATTTTCCCAGTTACAGCCTGAAGCTGGCAACTGCCAGTTAAGTTTCTGACAGTCATCTGAGAAACCAAAGCACTGGAAACTGCTCCTGGTGTGTATCACTGCTGAGGCGTGAACATTGGGAAAAAACAGCCCAAGCAACTGGGATTTGCATCTCACCTGTGTTCCCAATCTTGTGTGTCTGGATGGTTAAAAAAATAAGGGATGCTCTTACAGCAATGAATGCAGTGGACTGATCACACCCTCAGAAGTAATATTGGACTTATTTTGCCACACTTTGGGTGCCAATGTGCTGGCAGATGGAAAAAAATGCATTCTTAAGGGGCTTTTTGGATGTCAGTCGTTGGCTTGTGGCAGGGCGAGTTAAGATGAAGGTGCCATTGAGTGCATTTGTCTTTGCGGTGAGGAGGGAAGCGAGAGATGAGCACAGAGCAGTAGTGGTTACCTCTCCACCCCAGGCCAACTCTCACACGCACTCCTCTTCCAAAAAACATCACTAAATTGCAGTTCCTAAGCAAATCCAGACCCAGACCCTGGACTTTGGCTGTTATGGTGTTTCAGAAGAGCTTTGCTTTCCTGGTTTTTCTCCCAGTGGGATGAGCTCTTTGCTTTGCACAGGCATCGCAGCTGAGCCATGCTGCCCTCACACGCTGTTGGCAGAGGGGTTGCTGGGCACAGGGCTGGCGTGGGGACATCCCCGCTCTTCAGCAACCAAACCACCACGAAACAGCTGTATGTGACAGCCATCAGTTGAAACCAGTTCTCCAGGGCTCTGCTTCAATGACCAGTGATGTGTGAGGCAGCGTTTTAGGTCCGGTAGCTGCACCAGGAGCTCTGGAGTTTGATCTCTCACTGGCTTTGAATGACCTTGGGTTGGGGACCTCCTTGTGTGATACTTCTTTGGTGACCTTAAAGGGGTTTGCACACTTAGGGCTGTCCTTAGAGCTGTGACTGCGCATTGCTGGCATTGCTGCAGCTCTTGTATGGTGCAGAGCCATGGTGGAATAACCTTGGGAGGGTTAACTCGTGGGCTGGGAGTTGCACAAGAGCTAAACGAAGCTCTCAGGAGCTCTCTCCATCCTCCCGGTCTCATGGCACAACGTGATCACCATCTGGGGCTGGAAACAAGTTTTTCCTGTGGTTGAGCAAACGTCTGGCTGAGGCGGTGGCGGGCACCCTCCCCTGCTCCACGCTGCGGCCAGCGCTTGGCTTCCCCACCACTTCAGATGCCCTTGGGTGCGTGACTTCAGCCTGGTCCCCGGCTGTCTAGAGCTTGTGAGCACCATGTGAACACCAAAAGGGAACTTCTCTGAAGCGGCAAGGCGGAGGGAGGCATTCCCAGGAAAAACCCAGCCCCTGCTCCTCTTTGGGAGGGTACGGTGTGTACGTGACACCGAGCAGCCGCAGGGCATCGGGGCAATTTTCGCCCCCCCCCAGCCATAGCCCTGGCACATTGTGCTGCTGCGGGCTGGTTATCTCACAGTTAAACATATCCGAGGGCTGGAGCCATCATCTGGTTTGGTTTAAAGTGAAACTTCCTGAATGGGATGGTAGGACTGATTTGTTTTTCCTGGCTCGGCTCCCACCATTCTCGCCAGCTCAGCAAAAAAAAAAAATAAGAAAAAGAAAATAGAAGTGTGCATGCGTGTATAATATCTGTGTGTTTGTGCATGTCTTTCTCTGTGTGTGTGTTTGCTAGAGAGTCTCCTTCTCCCTGGGCTGGTTCCGGTCTTTGCTTATGTTCAAGCCCTGATTGTGGAGCCATAAAAACAAATAAACGCGCTCCCAGCTATTAAAGGGCCTTTTCCTTGTTTTGGGAGCGGAAAGGCGACATCCCGCAGTGGCTGGGGTGTGGGCAGGCAGGGTGGGGGCACCTCAGGGTGTCACCATGGGGTGCTCCAGAGCACCCTTGCAGGAGCCAGTGACTTTCTCCCAGCTCCACACCCTCCCACCACCCCCATCTCCTTTGCCCGGTGTGGCTCCTGCGTCACAGTTGGGTCTCCCCTGCCCGGCTTTGTACCCCTCCTAGTTTTTTTGACTCTTGCCAGCATCACGGCTGCGACTTGACGAGCATCCCTGCCAGGCAGGCTGGGGAGAAAGGGCTTTTGTTCGGCTGGGGCTCAGGGATGAAGGCAGGGAGAAGGGAGCAGTCTGTGTCCCGGCTGGTTTGCAGCGCTGCTTCCAGCTTTTGCATCAAAGCCCTTGTCTCCTTCCATCGGCTTCACCACAGCCGGGTTTCTGCCATGCCAGCAGCCCCTGGGGTTCAACAGCCAGCAGCAGCCCCAGTGATGGTGCCTGGTGCCTGCAGGAAAGTGGCATCGCAGCATCATTATTGTTGACCCCACGCAGCATCTCCTGCATCCCCTCCTCTGCCCCTTGCTGTTTTCTCTGACCAAAGACCGAGCTTCTGGAGCTGCTGGCAGCATTGCCCGTGACAAGGCTTGCCCCACAGTGCCTCCTCCCCATGACTGCGGTGTAGGAACCCCACAAGCATCTTGGGGTGCTCACTGAATGGTAATGCACATGCATGACTCATGCATGAAGCCCATGGTGCAGCCCAGTCCAAGGATGGCCTTTCACTTCTTATTTCAGCTGTCAGCAGATGTTTGTTGTAAATAACCACTGTGGCTGCCTGATCTTCAAGTATAGGGCCATAATTAATGATTTGTCTGCACAGCTCTGGGTGTAGCCCCTTACTGCTCTCTACAACCACCTGAAAGGAGATTGTAGTGAGGTGGGTGTTGTTCTCCCAAGTAACAAGTGATAGGATGAGAGGAAATGGCCTCAAGTTGCACCAGGGGTGGATTAGATTGGATATTATGAAAAATTTCTTTGCTGGAAGAGTGGTCAAGCACTGGAAGGGGCTTTTGGGGGAGGTGGTGGAGTCACGATCCCTGGAGGTGTTAAAAAATGTGTGGATGTGGCACTTCAGAACATGGTTTAGTGGGCATGGTGGTGTTAGGTTGGCCGTTGAACTTGATGATCTTAGAGGGCTTTTCCAACCTTAATGATTCTGTGATTCTATGAATCAGAAGAGGTGGTGTCTGACTGCCAGCCTTTCTGAGCAGGAGTGGCCACAGAAGCTCTGAGGGTTGGGGCCGAAGCAGGGCTGTGGTGGGATGTCTGACCATCTTGTGTCTCCTGCCCCCAGGTTCGCAAAGCTCTTGCTCCGCCTCCCAGCCCTGCGGTCCATCGGCCTGAAATGCCTGGAGCACCTCTTCTTCTTCAAGCTAATAGGTGACACGCCGATCGACACCTTCTTGATGGAAATGCTGGAAGCGCCCCATCAAATGACTTAGAGAACTGCTGCTGGGTCAGTCCCTCGCCCAGCCGGGGTCTTGCGGGGCCCCTTCCTCTGCTTTCCTCCGCCCCAGCCCATCCCTCCTTCCTCTCCCCGGCGCTGGAGGCACCGTCTGATCCGGGGCGAACCCCTGCCGTCCTCGCCTCCTCGTCGCCTTCACCCTTGTCCGTTTGCTGTCACTGCTGCATCTCAAGACCTGCTCGCTGGTTCCCTGCGCTAGATGTAGAGAAGTGGGAGCGGAGAGAACTTGCCACCCGCTGCCCTGGCTCACAGCCCTGCCCCGGCCCCAGCCGTGCCATGTGTTTTGGGGTTTGGTGTCACCCCACGTGTGTGTGCTGTGGCCGGCAGCGATTTCCCAGCCTTGGGCAGAAGCAGAGATGGGGACGGTCCCAGCCCTTGGGGCAGTGGGGTTTGGACAAGCCGAGGGGAGTGGTTGAACTTGCTGGATTTGCAGCTGGCTATTTTCAGAAGATGGAGTTTTTGAAAAAGTGAAGAGAAAAAAAAAAAAAAGAAAAAAAAAATTCTATTTTTGGTTTCTAACTGTTATTAGCAGTCTCGGTAGTTACTTCGCGGAGGGAGAGGCGGCCCGGCCCGTGCCCTGCAAATGAGTCACCCGTGGCTGCACAGAGCCTTCTCCTTTCAATTCAAAGCAGAGCATTTGAGATTGAGCTGAATCCCCCCCAAATAACAAAGCAACCGGTGGCACAATTTGCTGGAGCACCCTCTTGCCCTCTCTGCAGCAGGTCCCATGGGCGCCAGCACCTGAAAAATCCCCTTTTGCCATCCCAGCAGGCAGCCGAGCATCGCTGTGTTGCCCAAAGATGCCTCTGCAGTGGATGTGGAGCTGCCCACACGGACAGGAGCTGGCTGGAGCCCTTGCTTTAAGGCTGCCAGAGACTCAGCATCGCCCTTCCCAACTTGCGGGGTCTTGCGGGACCCCTGCCCTCAGCACTGCGCCCAGCATCCCGGCACAGCCCCGCTCACGGGGCTTAGTTCAGCCCTGCCACAGCCATGCTTTATGTCAGGGGCTGTTGCAATGGAGCAGCACGAGCTGGCATGGCGGTAGTGGCTCCTTTTTGGGTTTTTTTTTGGTCCTGCGCTGGTTTAGTGTGGTTAAAGAGGCATTTCCAGCTTGATGGGGTGGGCTCAGCAAAACACCCCCTCCCTGCCCACATCGCGCAGGGGTTTTGGCTGCTCCTCTTGATTCAGCAGCTGCCGCAAGGCAACAATTAGTGGGAGTGCTTGGCCAGGCTGGTAATTGTGGCTGTTAATAAGAGGTGAAGCAAGAACCGAGCTCCCCCTCCCCTGAATGTCCCCCATTTGGGCAGTGAGAGGTCCTGGCAGGGTGGGGGCTGCAGCAGCATCCCATCTGGGATGCCGAGAGCACCCAAAGCACCTTGGCTTTTGCACAGTCCTTTCCTTGAATCTTTGCATAGTCCTTTCCTTGAATCTTTCCATGGCAGCAGGGAGATGGACAGGTTTTTGGGGATTAGGGACACAGTCCTAGGAATGTACCTGCATCCCGCCCAGCCAGGAAGCATTTCCCCTTCACATCCTCATTTCACCCTCATCAGGTGGCTCCAGCGTTCCACCAAATAAATTAATTAGAGAAAAAAAAAGCAGAGCAAGCGGTGAGGGATGCTAGGGAGGGATTTGCCCCTCTTTCCATCCCAAACACACCTTGGAGCTGGTGCTCAGAGCCAAAAATGAGGTGCCTGCAGTTGGGCTCCGGCCAAGGGCTTTCCCCATTGCTTTCATGTCGTCTGGGCTTTAAAATGACAAAGTATTAGGTCCCCAAGGGCTTTATTTCTGTTCTTTATCCCCGTGGGTTGTAGCTGGCTCTTCAACCGCCTGCTGTGTGCCTGGAGGGGATGGAGCAGCGCCCAGCAGCTCCCGCCTCGGTTTTTGAGGGGACGCAGTTGTCACCCTCCTGTTGTCATCCTGCCTGGCAGCTCAAGTCCCCGGCTCCATGCCCTGCAGTGAACCAGGCCATCTCATTGCTTAATAAATACCCAGGATTTCAGGTCATAATTTTCCCTTAGGCTGGCCTGAAGTGGCAAATCCACAGAGGCAAGGAAAGTGTTTTGGCTGTGCGTCTCCAGCAGCCTGCTTGCCGCCGAAAATATTATTAAACAGCTTCACCCTGCAAGAATTTGCCAAGAAAACTAGGCAAGAGAAATGAAATACGTAAAGGGTGCCAGTAAACACGAGCAGGCTGTTCCTTGCCAACGTGTGGCTGGGGCAGCCCCCCGGGGGGGGGGGTTGCCTCCCAGCCGATGCTCAGCCCGGAGCCAAACTGGCCCCCCGGCAGCCCCCAGCCCAGCTCTTGCTGGTGGGAAGGAGCCTGGAGCTTGCTTGCCGAAGAGGGTGAGGATGCTTTATGGAGGAGTCAGTGGACTTTGCACTAGAATAAACCCGCTGGCCTTCTCTGTTTGGTGGAACCACTTTTTTCCTGATGGAGGGCTTGAAAGGGGCTGTTTGGTGCTGGATGCTGAGCTGTGGTGGCTTGCAAGGCTGTGCTCCAGCCGGCTGTAGAGCAGGAGCTCCTGTCCTGTCCCATCCCATCCCATCCCATCCCAGTTAGCATTTAACCCGAGAAGAATAAAATGCCACAAGTAAGAGATGTGTCCTTAGCAAACAGCAAAGGGAAAGGCTCTGCGGGCCAGGGGCTCTCAGTCAGGATGTACATCTCCGTGCCTCAGTTTCCCTGCTGGTGCAGTGCCTGGCCTTGCTTCATGCCCCTGGTTAAGGAGGATTTTGAGGAAAGGCTGAGCATGGGCCCTCTTTCAGCAGATACCGAGGGAGCTCCCGCATTGCTGTATCTCTGTTGCTTTCAGTAAAGCTCCTGTGATTTCCCCAGCCACCACACCGGACATTTTGGGTACCAGCAGCTCCTGACTGCATGTGATCAACCTCCAGAGTCCAGACCCCAGCCCACCCTGCGCCTCCCCCTCCAGCATCACCAGCCCGGCCCTCCCTGTCAGAAGGAAAAGCTTTTGTGCATCCAGTAACATCTGCCACAGCAGCCTTAAAGCAACGTGCTTTTGCATGAGTTTGAGTCTTTCATTTGTATTCCTTTTCACTTTTGGCTTTTTTTTTTTTGTCCTCATTATAATAATTATGAATATACTACATGCTTGTTTGAAGAGGTGATACATGGGTAAGAGGAAGAAAAAGGCACATTATTCACTAGAGAGGTAGGACTTTCATTTAACCAGATCTTAGTACTCTTGTAAAAATCTGGTTTGATTAGGGTGATCTACTTTTTAATTATATTTTTTTAAAATTCCTTTTTCTTGGTGGGACAATCTTTAATTTTCTAAAGATAGCACAAACATCAGCTTTTCAGCCATCCGCCTGCCGCCCTGAATGTTCCTCGCTGTTCCCCAGCACCCGTGGGTGTAGGAAGCCCACCCCGACCCCCCCCAAAGCTGGACCCCGTGCGCCCCTCTGGGGAGGGGACCCCATGCTCACAAAAAAGGGTTGGGGATGGCGGGGCTGTGGCTCAAGAGCTGATGCTGTCCCCATCAGTGCCGAGCATGCATGAGCTGGTTTAAGTTGATCCATATGTGCGTGTGTATACATGTATGTACTGTAGATATATACACTGTATAAATATCCTCACTCACATATACATATATTATAACCGTAGCAATTACAGACTTTTTGTGGGTTTTTTTTGTTTTAAGTTGATTTCTTTTTTCCTATTTTTTTCTTGCCTTTTTTTTTTTTCTTTGCTTCATGTAAGCGAGTACATTGTATCTGAAGCCCTTTCTGAATTGGCAGATGCCAAATCTAGATCTTTATTCCTCGAGACAAAGGAAATGCATCTATTTTAAGATGCCTTTTTTTGTTTTTCTGTTTGTTTGGTTTTTTCTCTTTCGAGCAGCAGGCGGTTTTGAGTAAAAGATAGCTTTAGCAATTCCCAATACTTAGCGATGGATGCCTTGGCTATGGGATGCATAGCTAAAAAAATAAAATACGTTAAAATTTAGAATGACAAAAAAAAAAAAAGATAAAAGATAAGGAAAAATATCTAAAGCATCAATAAAGTTAAAAATCTATTTTTGTACAAATGTAATTTTATCCCTTACGTGTTCTTGGATATTTTTCTTTCTGGATTGTTTTGTTTCTTCTACAGAGATTGTTATAAACTTTCTCTATTTTCTCTCTCTTTCTCTTTCTCTCTGTAAGCGCTCAGCCACAGGGACAGGGATTTGTGGAAGAGGGAGAAACTTTTGACCGTGTTTTAAAGGCTTTATATGAAATCTCTTTCGAAATAATTTTTTTGAATGAACTTTTTATTTTTTTCCCCCACTTCCAAAATCTTTTTCGGGG